CGTCGAGGCAGAAGTCGGATGAGCGCCAAACTTCCGGGCACTCCTTCAGAGCTTCCCCTCGCTTTCTACCTATTTCTAATGTACAAAAGATACAATAGAGCCTCTTGTAATTCAGCTCAAAGTTGTGTGTGCTTGAAGTGAGATGAAGAGCTCCTTATATAGGCTCCAAATGACGGTTAGGGGTATGGGAAATGACCAAAACACGCTGCAACCGCCTTAGGAGAGAAATTCGAGCCGTCCAGGTGAAAGCAGATGACAGGAAGCACCAGGATTGGTCCGCCCGAACTGGTAGGTTCGGCCGAACCCAAAAACTCTCCTCCCGGCCTCTCCTTCGGTCGGGAGGTTGGTTAATGGGCCCCAAACAACCTGGGCTATGTTTTGGCCCAATTCTAAATGGTTTTTATTGACTTATTGGGCCTCTAATCCGTCTAAACGCGTCCTGAATGCGCGGAGGTGCATTTTGTCACATGACGGATGTGTTTTCTCCTCAAATTACCTGCATACATATATTTCACCAACACTAGTGGAAATGATTAGTAATAACACCTACCACTAAGTTGGATACCATGTGTTTATTTCATTATATGCAGGTATTGACGGTCTGATATTATGATTTAAGGACCGTCAATAGTGAACTTAGCCATGAATTCAATGAAAAATTACACGGAATTGAGGCTAGGATAAGGGAAGAGATGCTAGCCAAAAAGGAACGAGGACAACGGACATCCAGAAGAAGTGCAAGTGAGCCCCTGCAGCGGCGAAGTAGTTGTTTGTCAACTGGGATTCCAGAATGACATCCACCTGTCTCAGTCGAATAGTAGTTCTCGTTGTAGCTGATGTGATTCGTACAACTTAAACTAATATTTTTTTCTGGATTGTATGCAGGGCGTAGCCCAATGCATCCTACAAGTTAGGGTTACACAAACATTCTGTTGTCATGCTGCCGAGGGCTAACCATACAAACCTACTCCATAAACAAGAGTTCGCGGTGCAGATTTGGTGGCTAGACATGTCAAAGTACAAGTTGACATGGTGAATGCTGATTGGATGAACTGGCAACTTCCAATCCCGTGGTATCTTCATCCAATGGCTAAAAGACCTCATCATCATCAAGGTCACTTTGAGGACAACTTTAGCTCCAGCTCCACCTCGCCCAGATTCTTCCACAAAAGTCCCTTCACCTCCTCTGGCCATCGAAGCTCCATTTGAGAGCCATGGTACGGACTTCGGTGAAATGGCCAAACTTCACCCTCCTCCGCAAAACACCAAGGCCATTTCATCTCCACCGATGGTGCAAAGAAGGGCGCATCATGCAAGAGATAGATCAAAAGGAAAAAGAAAGGCACAAGAGCCGTAGTTACCTCCCAAACAACTAGATCTGGATAAGGAGGTCAACGTTACTCCAAAAAACAAGCTCCAGGTACATTTCAGCAACAGGTGCCATTGGTTGCAGACCATGAGTTAGCCAAAATGGGTTCTGCTTGCCAAGTGCTGCATAGATACTACATGGAGAAAACAAACTCCAAGAGCAAGATGAGGGACACGTCCATAGTAGGTTACCACGACCAAGAACCATCCTTGGGGCAACAAAATTATTTTGCAGTGGCCTTCTCGGATCTTTTTTACCTCTATAAGCTACGAGCAGTGGACACCGGCTTGTTAAAGTGCTACACATTGTAAGTACAAATAACACCAAACTTACATACTATTAATACTTGTAGAATGCTTCTAATTGACCACACATGTGAACCTTGAAGGATACGTTCGAAAGAGGCACGGAGGAACAAAAACCAGGTGAACAGATAATGAGATAATGAGGCAGAACTTCAATCTCACTTGGATGATGTGATTAATTACTTCTATGAAAGCTTAAGGGCCCACTAGGATGAAGACTTCATCTTATTAGCACACAATCAACAGTGAATAGTACACTACGTTAGGAATTTTAAATTTTACTACACATGTGTGGTCTTCAACTTCCAGTATATTAACGTTGCAGATTCCATTGGATAAGTGAAAAATGGAGTAGGGTATACTTCCTTAACTCCAAAATAAGAAAAAAAAATACAACTTTACATCTATGAAGGAGGACTTTAATGCGGCTTGGGAGAAATATGTCAACAAAGGGGGTCGGCACCGAGAAGATATACCCGACCTCTATCACCATGATAACTACAAATGCAAGAAACAAACCGGCGAAACCTGTGTATTTCATGTATGTCATCAGATGAAGATTCTCGCTAGAAAGGTGACCTCCTTGGATCCTGAGGTTCATGGGTTTATAAAATCGGCCATTAGTATATTACATAAAATTAGGTTTGCGTATGATATGTACTAACTTGATGCCTCTTTCAGAATGTTATTTCCAACATTCCAGAGCACAATTTCGCCGTATCAGAGAAGAATTGGCTGTCTTCATCATACATGAAGTTATATCTTCGAAGGGCACCTACCATACTAGATGATTTATCGTGATCAGTTAATCAGATTTGAGTGAAAAATATGATTAAGTCATGACTTTTTATGTTGGAAAACAATTACTATTTGATTATGTTTAATTTATCTATGTACACTTGTAAACATTTATGTTAGAAGTAATATATTTATCACTTCTTTCAAATTGCATACTTATTTCACATGTTGCAATAAATATGCATGGTTGTCCCTTGAAGATGCTTCACATTTTGGCAAGGAAAGAAAGGTAATAAATTGTTGAATTTGAATGTGATAATAATGTGGGTTCAATATGTGAATGTGAAATGTATATATTTGTATGTGAATGTGAATGTGAAACTTGTGAATGTGTGAGACTTGTGAATTTGATTGTGAATGCGAAACTTGTGTGAATGTGACCGTGAATGTGAGCAAGGATATGCTGGATTATATTGCTGGGTTATTGGGATATGTAGTGGGCTTGGCTATCATTTGCCTGAGGCAAGCCAATAAAACAAATTTAATTTTTTTGTGAAAAACCTCATCCCTATCGGGCCGCAAAAGCAAAACCGTCACCAGAATGTACTACATTGTCGGGTTGCACTACTAGCCCGTCATGGATTATCATCCGTGATAGGCCCTAAGACATGCCGACAAAGGTGGGGGCAACACCTCTGTCGGGTTCCATTTGGAGCCCATCATGGATGATTCATCCTTGACGGGCTCTAAACACCTACCATCAATGTGAGGGCAACGTCTTTATTGGAGCTCAATTTGAGGCTGTCACGGATGAGTCATCCGTGTCGGGCTGGAGAACCTATCCATGAAGGGTTTTATTTGGGGCCCGACAGAGACATGCATCATTGGTGTCGGAGCATGGCCCGATACAGATGATAGTTTCACATCACTGACCATGAACTTTTCTGACACAGATGAGGGTTTTGCCCCGTAACGGATGACCGGTTCCGTAGTAGTTACTCCTCCTCACTTATGGCCTTGTGTTCCATGGCTGCGACCTCAAACACCGTGAGGATTACCAATGCGCAAAAAAAAAACAAATGAATCATGTCCCTAATTTTCTTAAAAAAAATCAGTTGGTCCAAATATTTCTGTTGAGCACCAGTGAAATATCCTAAGAACTGGAATAGACATAAAAAATAAAACACGTGAAACACATCGCTCTCACGCATGAAACATCGAATTTTAACGGTTGAAACATTTATATTCCTCAAAAGATAATCATAGGAGATCATTTTTTAATGATTTATCTTCAATAAATACAATGGTGAAATCAGATCTTAAATAAAGATACATAGTTTAGGGAAAACATCATTTGAGGCTCGTGTGTTTGGTCTGGAGCCTTCTCCTTGTTAAATGCGTGCATGCTTGCATGCAGACTTGCAGTGGACGAAAACGTTGGTTTTGCATGGGAGGCGCGGGCGACCAAATGAGCTTGCATGCAAACTTGCAGATGGGTGGTGTTGGTTTTGCATGGTAGACGCGGGGTCCGATTTTTTTGCTTGCATCCAACGTCCAGATGGAAGCATTATCGTAAAAAAATAATAATCCAGCAAAAAATTCGAGTCAGAAGCGGAAGCGAAATTCTTTCCGGCCAAATTTCATCGGCGCATTGGGGTGGAGTTTGATCTCTTGCAAGACAGATTTGCTACGAAAGTGTGTTGGTTGGTGGCATTGTGCTGCGCATGGAGGTTGTTCCTAGAAGAAGGAAGGAAGGGTGCCGGTCATAGGCTTGGCCGCCAGAGACGGCGGTGGCAACGGCAGGGAGGGCATGGCGCTGTTGCGGAGGCTATTCTATAGGAAGCCACCGGATCGACTCCTCGAGATCGCCGACCGCGTCTATGGTAAACCCATGCTTCTTCTTCCTCCTGCAATGTTGTTGCTTTTCAAATGCTGAGGAGGATCTGGGGAAACGCTGCAGCAACATGGAAGGGTTAGGTTGCGTGGAATTGGTGGAATTGTGTAATGTGTCATTGATTCTAGCTTTGGAAATGGGGCTGCTTTGTACATTCACTCAATTAATAGATACGGTAATATTACTTATCAACCTAGATAATACAATTTCATGGATTATATAGGTTTTTAATATGTTGTTGAAAAGTCTACGAAATGCATATCGGTTTTTTCTCTGAATTAATTATGTAAATAAAACAACTACTTCCTTATGTGATAGCTTCACAGATATTACATCCATTCTTAAATACAAGAACGTCTGGAGTTCGGCACAAGTATTAAGAAAGTATGTAGAAATAAATAGCAAAAAAATTATGATTGGTTCACAAGGGAAAGTAGGTGCTGAAATTAATTGAGAAATGTCTCTGATTGGTTGAGAAGAGGAAGCAGGTGTACAAGTTGCTATATTTTGAGATATTTTTTAATGCTAGAAGCTATTATATTTTGGTAAGGAGGGAGTAGCTTGCTAATGTTTCTTTCACAGGGGAAAAGTAGCTTGCTAACATTCTGCAGTGTTACTAAAATGTTAGCTAAGATGCCTTCTAGAATCCAATTTGACTTGAAGAGAAATTGATTGAAATATTTATGCTTGCAGTATTCGACTGTTGCTTCTCTACAGAAACCATGGAACAATTTGAATACAAGAATTATCTGGACAACATTGTTTTGCAACTTCGTGAGCAGTTTGTAGATTCTTCATTGATGGTATTTAACTTCAGAGATGAAGGAAAAAGTCTGGTTTCAGGCTTGTTCTCCCTTTACGGTATCACAGTTAAAGACTATCCCTGCCAGTACCTAGGATGCCCATTGCTTCCTTTGGAGATGGTCCTCCACTTCCTAAGGTTGAGCGAGAGGTGGCTTATGCTGGAAGGGCAGCAAAACTTTCTACTCATGCATTGTGAGAAAGGCGGTTGGCCGGTTTTGGCATTTATGCTTGCAGGTCTCCTTCTATATATGAAGCAGTATAATGGGGAAGAAAGAACTCTAGTCATGGTTTATAAGCAAGCGCCAAAGGAACTTCTTCAGATGTTAACAACACTAAATCCACAACCTTCCCATCTTCGGTATCTACAGTACATATGCAAAATGGATGATGAGCTTGAATGGCCTATACAACCAATTCCTTTTACTTTGGATTGTGTAATTCTTAGGGAAGTACCCAATTTTGATGGTGTAGGTGGTTGTAGGCCAATAGTTCGTGTATATGGGCAGGATTTTCTAACTGTTGATAAAAGATGCAATGTTATGTTGCCACCATCAAAGCCTAGGAAACACGCTAGGCGTTACAAACAGGTACCACTAATCGCAGTTTATCTCAATTGTTGTTCTATTTGTTTTAGTTATTCTTTAACTGTTGTAGCAGGCAGACAATATATCAGTGAAGTTAAATGTTGGATCCTGCGTGCAAGGAGATGTTGTCCTTGAATGCTTGCATATTGATGATAGCCTAGAAGATGAAAGGTTGATGTTTCGGGTGATGTTCAATACCTATTTTATCCAATCTCACATTCTACCGTTGAACTTTGAAAACATTGATGTGTCATGGGATGCTGAACAACGGTTCACAAAAAAATTCAAGGCAGAGGTAGGCTATAATTTTTCTTGCATACATGTGAAATACTATTTTCAACATAATAAAATGTAAATGAAAGTGCATGCCTGAACCAGGTACTCTTTTCAGAGTTTGATGGTGAGTCTGATGCATCCATAGAAGTTGCATCTGACTATGATGACGAGGTGGAAGTTGGCTCTATCGACGTGTTCTTTGAAGCAGTAGAAATTTTCAGCAATCTTGACTCACAAGAGGGGCAGAGGGATGCTGAAATCCTTTCTATAACTTCCACAGAGTGTTCTCCACGTGCTGAACTAATGAAAACTGCACCCTTTTCCCATTTTGACATGGAGATTGGTCTTGGTGGATCTCAAAAAAATAAAATTGATGGCATGGTTTTGTCACTAGAAAAGTCAGATGAAAAATGTACATCTGCTGAAGGAGATATTATACAGAACAACATAACTAGAGTAGTGAGGTCAAGTTCAGCAAATACAACTGATGGAGATAGAGATACTATGAATTCAAGTTGTTATGGAGGTAAAGTGGATGGCTGCATAGTAGAAAAGAACAATTCCAACAAGGAAATATTGACGGATTCCAATGAAGACTCGGGGATAGAAAATGTGTTGGTAAAGGAGGTCATTATATCAGAAACTAATAGTCTAAAGGATATACAAATGATCAAAGAGGTCATAATATCTGAGGTCACAACTTCAAAACCAGTAATAGAGGTAGATACAATAGGAACCGAGTTAAGTGATGTGGTCCACAATTCTGAAACCATTACACATGCAGAGGCTAACAATGAGGAAGAAGTTCTGGTTACTCTAAAACAGAATGAAGGGGATAATCTAGTCGAAGAATGCATTTATTATGGCAATAGCATAATGATCAAACCAGAAAAGAATAGGAAGAAAGAAAAATCTATTATCGGTTCCACAATTGGTGTAGTACCTGATTCCACAGAGGAGAATGCTAGGGTGGGACTTCTATTATCAGTGAAACCTCATTTGGATAGCACGGGCACTTATCATGATTTAAATTCTCCCCTGCAAAAGATTGATCTACTTAATGTTTCAAATACTAATTGTGTTGAAGAGCAAACGAAGGGAATGGAGGCTTCGATATCAAATTCATATGGTCAGCCCTCTAATCTGTCTTCACTAAACTTGCAACCTCAAGGATCTAGTTTTCAAGCTAATGGGGATCCAACTTGTGCCAACACAAGTACAGATGCAAATGAATCAACTCAACTGGAACTCAAGAGAAAATCTTTTCTTTCTTTGTCAACATCTAGTATTTTTTCTCCATTATCCCCTAGGCGTAATCTGCTTCGTTCAACATCTACAGATTTGTCATTTCTATCTCCACTACAAACAAAATCGAATCAACACTCAATTCCTTGTTCAAGTGGAAGAGATGATTTTGCTTCATCTTACGGACCACCACCAAACATACCATGTACATCACTTCGAACATCAAAAGTATCATCGCTAGTACACCCCTCTCTACGACCACTTAGAACTGTTTCATCTCTATCTCAATCTTCATTTGAAGAATATCTAGATATCTCCCCTCCTTCTCCAACTTTTCATGAAAAACATCAACAACATTTTAACCTTGATCCTCCCTCATTAATACCACCTTGGCAGCTTCGGCTAGCAAAGACAAAGGAAAATGAGATATATCCATGTACTCTATCTTTTCTCCCTTTGTCTCCTTCCAACAAGTATGCCCATCACCCTCCATTCCCACCACCGCCACCACCACCACATGTTCTTTGCACTCAAAATAATTCACGCACCCAAATCTCCGAATATGAACAAGGAAGAGTTGAAGGTCCTTGCCCCTCTAGTTCTTATGGACAAAGTATTCTCAACTCACATGATGTTTCTCTAAGTTTACCACAAAAAGGTATAAACACATTAGAGTTCTCCAAAGTAGCCTTTAATTTTACAAATACCAGAGAAGCATGCATACCAAATATACAATATAGTAAGGATATTCGAACTAACAGTGAAGATACAAAACTTTCTGTGATGGTATCAAATTCTTTATCTTCGAAAATACCTCAACAATGGCACACCACACCACCACACCACCACCACAAGGGCATCACAGTGTAAAATAAAGTTGTCAATTCTAGACAAGGATAGTGATTCAATACCACTAATACATTCAAAGTCTTCAGATTATCCACACAATGAACTAGCAATGTCAGTAGAACAACAATATCCCTCTCTTCGAAGACATGAAGAATGTGAGGTGTCATCAACCCAAACAGTCATTGAGTTATCTTCATTGAGATATTCTGAATATACATATCAACATATATCCATGAATATTGAATATAAGACTCCAATTCTCTCTCCCTCGGTATCTACATCGTTGCATGCAGATTCCTCATGTATTGCTATAACAAATGGTCCTTCAAGTTCAAATTATGTCGAGGAAGTACCAATGGAAACAATTTTGAATCAACCAACATTATCCATTCCTTTGGAAGCATGCAAGGATGAGCTATTGCATTGTAAAGAAAATGGAGGCATTCCAATTCCACCACCTCCACCTCCTCTTTGTGGTAAGTGTGTACAAATTTCAACAGAAAAATTCCTTGTGGGGTGTGAAATGTTTTTGATTCCATCATTGATACCTCAATCACCACCCTCACCCCCACCCTCAATACCATTGTCTTTTCCATCAGCTTTACCTTCAACCTCAACATCATTTACAGCTTTACATCAACTATCCCATATAAAAACCGCACCTCCTCCTCCACCACCACCACCTAGAGGACTTCTAGAAACTTCATGTTTATCTCCAATCACATCCTCCCTAAGAGAACATTCATACATATTACCTCCCCCTCCTCCACCTCTCCCAAAAGAATGTTTGCCAACTCCATCTCCACCTCAATCCCCTGATTGTCCATCTTTTCCTACAAAATATGCAACTACATCTCCTCTTCCATCACCACCACCACCACTTCTACATAAAGTACATGAATGTGTTATTCCTTCTCATACCAGGCATGTTGTAGTACCTGCACCACCACCACCACCTCCCTTTGGAGAACATCATTCTACTTTTAGTAAAGATTTAACGACATCACCTTGTTCCTTTTATGAAGATCATGCAAAAAAATATACTAGAATTCCTCTACCACCACCACCCCCAGAAGGTAGCCACGGAATTTTAGCTACAACTTCTACTGAATTGATTGATGCTGGTCCTCAATTGCCACCATTATCTCATCTTGAATGGAAACGGTGTCCACATCATCCTCCAGAAAGGCCACATTATCTTCCAGGAGAAGTTGGAGGAGCTCCATCGCCACCATCACCACCTCCTCCTCAGAGAGAAAATACATCAGTAGGAATTCAAGGTGGCATTCCACCTCTGCCACCACCTCTGCCACCAACTCTGGGAGATTATGGAGTGGCTCCACCTCCTCCTAGCATTGGTGCAGGGGCTCCACCACCTCCTCCTCCACCTGGAGGAATCACAGGAGTTCCTCCTCCACCTCCTATTGGAGGGCTAGGTGGGCATCAAGCTCCACCAGCACCTCCTTTACCTGAAGGAATCGGAGGAGTTCCTCCTCCACCTCCTGTTGGAGGGCTAGGAGGGCCTCCAGCTCCACCACCTCCAGCTGGATTTCGAGGTGGAACTCCACCTCCCAATGCACATGGAGGGGTTGCACCACCACCTCCACCCCCTAGAGGACATGGTGGGGTAGGTGGCCCCCCTACCCCTCCGGGTGCACCTGCTCCTCCAATGCCTCCTGGTGTGCCTGGTGGTCCTCCTCCACCCCCTGGTGGAAGGGGTTTGCCTGCTCCACCTGGTGGCAGAGGTGTAGTAGGACATGGACTTACTCGTTCCTTGGGGCTGAACTCAGCTGCCACAGCAAGAAGGTCAACTCTAAAACCACTACATTGGGTTAAAGTAACAAGAGCATGCATGGGAGTTATGGGCAGAAATACAAAAGCAAGCAGATGCTAATAGGTACCCTCTTGTTTTTTAGCTTTTTGATTACTAGAAAATATAACTTCTCTACCTCTTTCACCATAGTTACAACAAAAAATACTGTAGTGTAAACCCGCTGCTATTTCAATTTATTTCTCGTATCATTTTTTTAATAAAATTTTACTAACTGGTAGTATCATGTATGTAGCCATTCTGAATTTGATGTGAAAGAATTGGAGTCTCTTTTTGCTATTGCTCCAAAGACAAAAGGTGGTTCAAAATCAGATGGAGCTAGCAAATCTCTTGGATCAAAACCTGACAAAGTTCATCTGGTAACTTACTCTAACACATTACTATGCTAAACAGAAAATATTCCCAGTACTTTTGTTTAATCTACTGCTATGATAATGAATTACTTGATTCCATGCAAGTGTAATGCGCACAAAATTAATAATTACTTTCATTTTAGAAGACAAGTTTTCTATATAGTTGCGGAAAAACCTCATTATCATATTCACTTTTGAAAATGTGTTGATGGCTTTTTGTACCGAGATTGTATCTTTAGTTCATATATTTATATTTCACGGTATTCATTAGCTTCTCTCTGACAATAAAATCTGCCCTTCATTAATTACTGGTATCACTTGTGTTTTCTAAGAGTTACCTTGGTGTCTTTGAAATCTACAGATTGATTTAAGACGAGCCAATAACACAGAGATCATGTTAACTAAGATCAAAATGCCACTACCTGATATGATGGTAAGCACCCTGCTATTTCTTTTTTGCCTTTATTGATGCACAATAGTTGGACAAAAGGGCAAGGTCATTAAATGTCTTTGTTCCTTGCTAATACTCCTTCAGTACCATATTAGTTTTAGCTCTAACCTGAATCAAACTTCTCTAACGACGACCGAGTTTATAGGAAAATGCACCAGCATCTAAAATAACAAATAAATGCACTATTAAGAGCTATTTCATGGTGGAATTAATGGAACTAATTTGATGTTGTAGATGTTGATGTACTTTTATATAAACTATATCGAAGTTCAAGAAGTTTGACTTTGGACAAAACTACATAACTTACTATATTGGAACGAAGGGACTAATATGACTACTATAGTGATTGAATATCTATCGTGCGCTATATTATTTCCTTGGCGTAGAACTGATACAACATCCAATATAGCTCGCTTTTAACCAGTTTTGCATATGTGGGCTATTATTTTGTTGTTTGGGAATTGCACACATAGACCTTTGCATTGTGACAACATCCAACATAGCTTGTTTTTAACCAGATTTGCTTACAATCTGAAGATTAGGTAGCTGACCAAAATAAATCATCAACAGAGTTT